AACAATGAAAGTATGGGAATGGTGTAGTGAGAGCTTCTAAACTTTCAAAAAGTACTAGATTTTGAAACTTGCCTAACCTTTACCCTGACTGCAAATAAAAAAATGATAAGTTACAGAGTGACAAAAGCCACACCACATGCTGGTCATTTCTCTTTCATGCCCTGACTGAACAGACTTTCAGCTAGTGTAGTTTCTTCTGTTCGCTCTCTTCCATTAATTGTCTTCCCTCGATCTTTCTCTCATTTCTTACATGGGAGCCGATCAAACTTTAATGGAATGAGAAGCATGAGAAGCATCAGCGTGTGGAGAGGGATGCGTGTTGTTTAGGGACGGGTCCTTGGGGTTTGGGAAGTGCTCAGAGTTAAATGTGCATGAGATGAAGTGTAATGACATGCATATTTCACACCAGCTAATTTAAGCCCAGTGCCAGCCGTGACGCTTCTGTTGTCACTCTTGTTTTAGGAACGCTTATGTTAGGACTGAGAGTGAGACTGTGTTTGGGTGAAATGGATTATGCTGGTTGTGGGTGTGTACATCTGTCTCTTTTGTTTAGGAGGAAAAAAAAAAAAACCTCTTAGCAACTACAGGGCTCCAGACTAACATTTGAGAGCCAAGCTCTACAGATGGTGTCACAGCACCTGATTTGGGAGCAGCAAAATAATAATTAATAATATTACTTATTACATGTTTTGTCTCTTGGAATGGCACATTTGAAAGAGGCTTGAGTTGACAGTAGCAGCAGTTTGAGCTGGGATGTGGATGTAAATGTATATATTAATAATATAATACAATTTGATATGAGTTTCTCTGTATTTCTGTTACAATACCAGTCTTATGTTAACTGCATTGCTGTGGCACAAGGTTTCTCCTGTTTCTAGCGTCAGTTTGTTGAGAATGTAAGGGCTGATTCATCTGGCTTTAAACTGTTTTAAATGAGAGACATTGGTGCTTTGCAAGAACTCTACAGTGAATTTGAATACTTCTCCCTGGATCTCACAGAGCTGTTTAATAATGGCTGCGTGATCGAGAAATGCATATGCTCTGGTCCAAGTTTCATTAATTTGTTCCCTCGTTAACGGTGGATAACAACATAAACATAACATAAAAATAAATATATAAATAAAATAAATTTAAAATACAGGCAAGATGACAAGAATTACAAAATACTTCACAATTAAGTGACTATCACAATTAAAAATATACAGTATTTTGTAAGGAAAAAAATGGGTGCTTAAAGGGTTAGTTCACCCAAAAATGAAAATTAGCCCATA